GGCTGGGAAGGGATGTGAAGGATAAACAAAGGAGGAGGCTGCAATGTTTGGTAAGAAATGTACGCATTATCCTGCCCATGCAATCGTAACCCCTCTGTACAGTATGTTCACAAATAAAATTCTTATTAAAAAAACACATTCAAAGTATAATCTGTGTCTTATTCAGACTGAAACCCATACCAAGAAATGTATGTGTGTGTGTATATATATCTATATATGTATGTGTGTGTGTGTACATATATAAACATATGCTCACAAACACAAAGACAAACAAATGAAAATTTAATCATACTGCAAAATAAAATCTTTGTTGGACTTTTGACTCAGTATTTACTGCCATCATGATTTTATTTTTTTTAGCTGTAAGAAACCTCTCTTCTCACTGAAATGTACCTCCACAAATTCCAATCTTTCTATTCTTCATTCCAAGTTCACATAACTTTTGTTTTCAGATGAAAGCACACTTCTAAAATCCTGTGTTGAATGTAAACTTTCTCTACTTGCAAATAGCAGCATGTATTATTACTTCCTTTGTTGTCTGAAGGTCAGTACTCATCTTGCATTATTCAAGGCAAAAATCATGATTTATTTGAACAGAAATTTGTTGTCTGCTGACAAAAATTCATAACTATTGAGAGCTTCAATGAATTCAGACACCTTATGAGAGCTAAATATTGAAATTTGTAGTGTTATACAAAGCATTGTACATAATTTGTATGTTCAGCTTTTAATGTCAGATTCTGAAATATACACTCATCTCAGTTTTATAGACAAAGTATTTAAAATGCAAGCTATTTATAATAAAAAGTCTTCAAAACCAGGTGCACTTGACTAATCCATATAACTCCAGCTCCTCAAGAGGCTAAAGTCTGAGGATAGGTGTTTTTTATGAAGTCAGCCCAGGTAAGAACGTCAGTGAAATGCTTATCTTCAATTGTCTACCAATAAGTTAGAGCTAGAGCTGTGGCTCAAGTGCTGTCTTTGAGCAAAACCTTATTCAGGGCAGTGCCCAATTCTGAGGATACACCACAGGACTATTATACACATATTATTTAAAAGACTTCAAGTAAAACAAAAATCAAGATTTATATATGCTTAAAAATATCCATTAGAGGTCCATTTTAAAACATTAGTTCTATTATTTTATTTTTATTGTTATTGAAAGGTGATTTACAAAGGGGCTACAGTTATATAAGTCAGGTAATTAATGAGTACATTTCTTTGTAAAGTGTCACCCCTACCCTTGTTGTCTCTGTTTTTCTCTTCCCGACCCTCTCCCAATTTGTACAGTTAATTTTCAACATTATGAATAGTGAGTATCACTGCTGTATTTGTTCAACTTCTGTCCCACCATTTCTGTGCTCCTCAAATAGATAAACTTACATACAAGACAAAAGTATAGAGAACAAAAACGTTGACAAAGAAGAAAAATGGAAAGCCAGTAACACAAAACCTCATGTTCCCATTTATTGGAATTCATTTAGTATATGATTCATATGAAATATGATTTATATGATCATATGTATATAGTATCTATTTAACCTTTGTGATACTCTCCTAAAAATAACCTTCTTTTGCCAAACTGTTTGAATATCTAGAGTTCTGTATAATTTATCATGACCAAGTGTGTTTATGTGTAGATTTATAGACACAGTCTAGTTAAAATAAATGAGAGAACCTATGTTTTTCAGTTGTGGCTTGCTTGATATAATTCTTTCTACTTCTTCCCATTTTCGTACAAATGGCATAATATTCTTTCTGATGGAAAAATATATGAATATATATGTATATATATATAGATATACACTTTTTTGATTCATTTGTCCACTGAGTGGCTTTGGTGGGAAGGTAAAGTTGTTCAACCATCCTGGAAAACAGTATGGAGATTCCTCAAAAGATCGAACACAGAGCTTCCTCATAACCCATCAATTCCACTCCTGGGCATTTATCCAATAGAACACAAACAAGACCACTATAGCTACCAGCACAACCATGTTCATTGCAGTATTGTTTACCATAGCTAATATATGGAATCAACCCAGTCATATTACTTTAATGTCAAACTTTATGAAATGTATTCATTATATTGGGGACAAACACACCTCTCATATATTGTTCAAGAAAATATTTTAACAGCCAACATTTTCTTCAAAGTATCCTTCACATCCTTGTTTCTGAGACTGTAGATCAGGGGGTTCAACATGGGGATCACCACCGTGTAAAACACGGAGGCCACTTTGACAGTGAGTTTGGAGTTTTTGGAGTTGGGCACACAGTAGAGGAACAGGATGGTGCCATGGAAGATGGTGATGGCAGTCAGGTGTGAAGCGCAGGTGGTAAAAGCTTTGCGACGCCCACTGGCTGAACGCATCTTGAGGATGGTGACAAGAATAAACAGGTAAGACAGGAGAATGATGAGCAGCGTGCTGACAGCATTAAAGGTGGCCAAAATGAAAAGCAGTAACTTACTGACAGCAGTATCAGAGCAAGAGAGGGACAGCAGTGAGGAGAACTCACAGAAAAAGTGATCGATGGTGCTGAAATCAGGAAAACAGAGTTGTAGCGCAGAGCAGGTAAAAATCAAAGAGCAGGCATCACCCCAGGCATAGGATCCTACCACCAGCGCTGTGCAGAGTTTCTGTGACATGATGACCTTGTAGAGCAGAGGGTGGCAGATGGCCACCAGGCGGTCATAAGACATCGCTGCTAAGAGAAACGCTTCAGTGACAGCAAATGCACAGAAGAAAAAGTATTGTACTATGCATTCTGTGAAAGAAATGCTTCTGTCTTTTACATATAAGTTCACTATCATCTTCGGAGTGATGGTGGAGGAATAGCAAAAATCCACAAATGAGAGGTGGCTGAGAAAAAAGTACATGGGGGTGTGCAGCTTGGGGTTCATTCTGATTATTTGTATCATGCCAATATTCCCTATCACAGTGATGCTGTAGATGGCTAGAAACATCAGAAAAAGTGGGATTTGCAGTTTTGGGTAATCTGAGAAACCCATCAGGGTGAAAATAGCTTTACTGTTATTTCTCTGTGACAGATGCATGATTACTTCTTGTCAGAACATAGTCATTGCTCCTGAAATAAACCATAAAGAATGAGGCCAACAAGAACCTTGGTTCATGCCCTATGGCTAGCTTAAACAGAATCTTGAAGGGTTTTGTTGTTGTATTGTTAAATATCAATTTCACAAGAGCATTCCAATTTCCGACTTATGTTTTCTGTTGTCAAGTATTCTTTTTAATATTTGCAAATGTAAGAATGGGATTATTGGGGCTGGAAATGTGGCTTAGTGGTAGAGTGCTTGCCTAGCATGCCTGAAACCCTGGGTTCTATTCCTCAGTACCACATAAACAGAAAAAGCTGGAAGTGGTGTTGTGGTTCAAGTGGTAGAGTGCTAGCCTTGAGCAGAAGAAGATCAGGGTCAGTACCCAGGCCCTGAGTCAAACCCCAGAACTGGCCAAATTAGAATGTGATTATTGTTTGCATTATATTGCAAGTTAATTCTCCTCATATATTTTTGTTTCTCATTTTATAACATTAATTTTAACAATTCTACCCAAATGTGATAACAATATAATAGCCTAATAAATCATTTAAAAATCAGCAATTTCTAGCCAAATTAATGGTTTTTAATTGTATTCATTCAGGTACCTGAATGAATCATAAACCAATATTTGCCTTATTTGCAATTACATATGAAGCATTTAATGTGCTTTTCTCTCTTCTATCTTATGGCTCTGTCAATCTTATTCCAAAATGAAACAATTTTTTCCCATAAAGGTTGTCCTTCAACTTGAATGTTTTTCCCCCTTTTATCTATTTCTCCAAACTGGAACAATAAAATTAGAAGTAAGTACAATGAACACATTATAGCTACTTCCTAATATATAGTGCTGAAAATTGAAACTAGAGAAATATTTGTGCATAGATTACAGAACAACTTATACTTCTGTGTCTAAAGCACTGATTTTCAGACCTCTAGTCTTTTATTATTTCTCAAACCACCAATTTCTGGCCTTCCAACTTGGTCTGCTTACTTACAGGTTTCCTTTCTTAAGTTCACATTTTCAATTACGAAATATTGCTATAGAGACTTTAAACATGAAGGACATAATCTAACAGCATTGGAAATTTCACAGAGTGAAGCAAGAATGTGGTATCAAGAAAAAGCACAGACAAAATATATTTAGAGAAACTTGTAAAACAAGGAATATTTAAAAACAGGAAAGATGGGAACAGAAACATTTTCTATTTCATGACAACAGTCTAATTCTAAAGTTAGCTATCTCCTTCACAGATTGTTTTCCTGACTGAAAGTAAAAACAATCATCCTTTTGAAGCTCATAACAAACCTTCTGTTGTGAAATTCACGATCTATTCTGGTTGGGAGTGATGCATGTTCTCTTATTTCTAGTGCTACAACCTTGGGAACAAGAACCCCAAGGAATATTACAACTATATTCTCCAGAGATCACATTAAGCCATTAAAATTAATCATGTTGAACTGATGTAACAATGGTTTAAATTTATTTCTTTATTTCAATAGACATGTAGCACTTGAACATTATTATCCAGTAATGTTAGGCATTCCAACACAACCTTAGGTTTAGTTCTGATCAGGGAAGTTGTCATAAGCTTTTCTTCTTCAGGACATTCAAAACATTTTTTTCCTCTGACTACTGCAAAATAATTATTATTCCATACCACAATGATCCTACTCTAGAACATAAAATTTCCATTCACAGAGCAATTAACTAGGAAGCATAAAACCTTGTGCTCAACACTTATTACCACAAAAGTATTCTCAGCTTCTACCCCTTGAATGTTGGGAGAATAAGAGTGCACTATATTGTACAGTTTGGGGAGAAAGTTCTGCAATCTTTTACATAATGGTTGCATCAAATGCATTCACGTCAATAGTACATGAATTTAGTCCTGTTCTAAAGTAAACAATATTACACATCATATTGATTCAACTGATATTTACAGAACATTTTATCTACATACCTAAATAATATACCTTCTTCTCATCAACACAAGCATGATTCTCTAGCACAGATCATATGTAATTCAACAAAGCAAGAAGGGTTCTATCAGATTTACTATAAGTAATTATAAAACAAGACTGGGAATTAGTTGCAAAATATGAAGAATTAGGCTATAGACATTTATTGACACAAAAGAAAGAAAGAAAGAATAACGATGAACTTTAGACAATTGTGATTTTATTAGTAATTATATTGTTCAGTTAATTTTATATTTTATATTTGACTAATGATTCCTGAACTACATTTTAATGGGAGGGGAAGGATCTATGCAAAGTATTAATTTAAAACTAATATAAATACACTGTATTATTTTGACTATTATTTAAATTTAGATCATCTGGAAGCAATAATATTATTAGGTTCTAATTTGTGGCTGTGTTAGAAAGTTGGTGAAGGTGTTCTTTGACAGAAAAAAGGTAAAATAAGTTTTACATCATCCTTTATATTTTAATGCTATCTTAAATATTGTGCATATTTATAGAGTACCATTTAACGTTTTGGCATGTGTATGCCCTGTGCAATACTAAAAGCAGTGTAAACTGATCTCAAGCATCTATCTTGATGGTGAATAGATTCAGAAGTATGTGTTATAGAAGAATGTTGCAATATTATTTCCTATTGTCATCCTGCTTGGCATTAAAAGCACAGAATTTCTTATTCTTTTTTTATTTTTTATTTTTATTGTGAAAATACTGTACAGAGGGGTTACAATTACATGGGCAAGGTAATGAGTACATTTCTTATCAAGCATTGTTGCTGCCTCCTTTGTTTCCCCTTCCCATCCCTTCCCCCTCCCCCTCCACCCCCCCACCCTGCGCCAAAGTGTTGTAGAGGTGGGAGAGAAGGAGGGTAGGGGAGAAACAAAGGAGGAGGCAACAATGCTTGATAAAAATGTACCCATTACCTTGCTTATGTAACTGTAACCCCTCTGTACAGTATTTTCACAATAAAAACTTACTAAAAATTAAAAATTAAAAAAGTAAACTGAACTGTACATGTATAAAATTAGATGTGTTTGTAGATGAGAAACGATAGAGGGGCAAATGCACAAGGTAAATATGATATGATTGAAGTGATTTATAGGAATGCATGAAAATGGCACACATTAATATTTTTTTCAGACCTATAAGAATGGTCTGAAAATAAAGGAAGTAGAAAATATAGAGCAATAATAGAGTGGCTGAATTTGTTCAAAATATATTATACACATAAGTGAAAATATTGCAAAATCGCCTCCTTTTACATTTATCAAAAGACACCAAAAGAAATGGATATACTGACTGGTTAAATCTAGGAAAGCAATGATTTCAATGGCTCCCTGTAGAGCTCCTGCCTAGCAAGTACAAGGCCTTGAGTTCAAACACCAATGCTGTAAAACAAGGCATTGTGTTGATAACTCAAAGAATACGTAAAGCTTAATATCAAGACAAGGAAAATTTAGCCATGTACTGGTGGCTCATCCCTGAAATCCTAGCTACTCAGGAGGCTGAGATCTGAGGATTCAAAGCTAGCCTGGACTGGAAATCTATGAATCTCTATTCTCCATTTAACCACCAGAGAACTAGAAGTAAAACTGTGGCTCAAAAAGATAGAGTGCTAGCCTTGAGCACAAAAAGCTCAGTGACAGCATGCAGGCCAACTTCAATCCCCACAATACACCAAAAATAAAAGAGCAAAATGTAATTAATGAATGCAGATAAATAATTAAATACAGGTGACTATGTGATTACAAGACTGAACAAGGCGTAGGCTACCCGGGTACATACTGGACCTCTGTCCAAAGCACATGCATGTGAGCATACACACACACACACACACACACACACACACACACACACATATACACACCACATACATACCAGAGTAAGTAAACAACTTCATAAATATAGATGGATTAACACCCCAAATTGACACTAGTCATCCCATGAAATTCAAATTCAATTGCAAATGACTCAGTGCATCATATTGTAATAGCTTCATTGATGATTAAATAGAATATGCCATAAAATGCAATACCTGTTAGTGAATAAATGTATTATCTTTGAATCTTGATATTTTTCAATGTTCTAAACTATGAATGTCTATGTGTTCACTCATCTTCTAAATTCCATAAATCTCTTCTTGACTCTCCGAACAGTTGAACCATTTCCTCTATTGTATATTGTGTCTGTATCTAGTGTGTGTGTGTATATATATATATATATATATATATATATATATATATTTGTGTTACAGATTATACATATAATATTATATTAAAATTTTATAATAGGAAAGGACACACCACTAACATAAGCTGATTACTGGCAGTACATATGATATAGTCACCCCTTGTAATTACAGATTTTCACCAGTCATTAATGACAGGAAGAAACTTAGTTGTTCTCATGGATATTTAGCTAGCGTTGATTTTCTAGCTTGTTTTCCAGCAGTAAGCTCTTGGATGTGAATTTTACAAGTGTTCATTTTATCCCTGAGGAGTAAGTGAGAAGATTGTGCATCGCTCTGTCAGCCATAGAGTATGTGGGAGACAGTGAGGGCCACGGGTCAGTGTCAGTGTGGAGAAAGAGGTCTCACGCTACATATGTCAAAGAACTTCCCCAGCAACCTAGAACTCTGATGTCTCCATTTCCAGTAGCAGAACAATAAAATTATCTCCAGCTTAAGTTTATTTCCTTGTTGGTACCCTTTCAAAGAGCATACATACTACTTAATAACATGAATAGTATGCAACTCTAATGTGACATCTTGAAGGCTTCTATGTCTTTGGGATCATACAAAGGAAGAGAATTTGAAAATTTTCAGAAACATATATTGCGGCCAGTTAGGTTTTTCAGTGTGGCTGGGCACAGATACCTGAAGTGGTTGGCTGGATGGTTTAATGAGAATGTTACCTGGGAAAGCAGTTGGCCCCCAGAGGAGAGAGCAGTTAGTACTTAAAGAACAATATTAGTTCTGAGAATGGAATGCTGTTGAGAGCAAGATGCTTTTTCTATCTAACAAAGTGAAGTATACAACCATGCAAGTATTCCTCCTTTCTCTCTCCATTCACATGTAAACAGCAAAGGTAAATATTGCCTGTAAGCTGAATCCACGAAAGCATGGACTAGTGTATATCAGAAATATACATTTAGAAGTGTCTGTCTCTGCAGTATCAAAAATTACTATCTCTATATGAAAATTAAGAAATCCTAGTTTAGATTTTAGTAAATACATTGATTCAGATAAACTTTCTAATTCTCTAAATTTAAATTGAAAAGAACAAATGTAAAATTCTTTATTATGTAAGACACAAATTAGAGATTATTAACATTATGTTAATCTACATCTAAATGTTGGCATTAATGAAATAATCATATTCTTAACAAATAATTACATATACACAAGGATTGTCTGGTGACTATCTCATTAAAACACAATTGTGTATGAATAATGAAAAAACTAGTGAAGGAATATTATTGAAATAGGTTTGCATTCTGTCCAAGGGATTTTGGAGTCTTGATAATTATTCCTGGTTTAGTCTCGTGATTGATTGGGTTATGTTAGAATGAATATGAGAATGAAACGACATGCATGTAGTCGGAATGATATATTGAAAAATATTTTATAGTATTAATTTTTTACTCATAGTTTACAGACTTCAGCAATAGCTAATTTCTGGTTATGTTATAAATAAATACAACATATTCTTTTGTATTACAATGGCACTTATTACTTCTTTTTGCTTTGTATTTTTCTATAGTGCATATATATTGTGCTTATTTTTGAGGTACATGTGATGATTTTATAAAGGTATGAATAATATGATGCTAAAATCAAGATAAACTTCCTTCTCATTAATTTATCATTTTAATAATCAATAACCAATCATCCTTGCTTGAGCTATTTTTAAATTAAAAGTAGAATATCATTTCTACATTCAACCCAAACATACTGCAAACCAGACCTTACTATTAACGAACTTGCTCTTAGAGTACACTAACTTGTCTGAATCCAATCTTCCCCTACCCTGACCCCTCAGAACACATATCCAATTTCTTTTTTGCTTGGGGACATCATTGTACTGCATTTGACAGTTTTTAACATTGCATATTAATGAACACATTTGCACAATTAAGAAAGACCACAAATACATCAGGTATTATTTTTTCTTCCTAGATTTAAAGAGGACCAAATAAACTTGTATTTAACTTTCCTATTTATTCAAAGAAAATCTATAGGATAACTGTATTCCTTGTTCAGTGTTGCTTCTCCCTCCTTGTGTTCATGTCAATATGCTTCAGAAGTTCACCTGGGATCACTGATTTACCAGTTTTAGCATGTGGTTATAGGTGACTCACCTTCCTCTATTGAGTTATTCTCTTTTGGATTTCACATACTATCTCCATAATAGAGATGTGCTGTAGCCCACACCAAAAACAATGAGAATAGAGTTGGTTGCTACAAAAGAAGCTACAATGGTTCTCTATCTTCTTCACTCCCGACGATCTACTTACAAACAATACAGCCACCCAGGTAAAACATAACCTGGGGCTAGGCTGTGCTCTGCAGTTGGATTCAAATCCAATCATAGAGTTGGGATTATCCTAATGAAACAAATGTTGATTTGTTAAATAAAAGTTCATGACACACATGGCATAAGGTACCCAAAGTGTACAGAAAATGCAAAGAAATCTATAGTCAGCTTTTACAAGTAAAATAATATAATAATAGTGATTTCCCTGAGCACACTTTTCTACAGGAACAGGCACCCAGAGCAAATGACTGACTGAAGAGAAAAGTAAAGTTAGTAAAAATAGACAACTAAATGAGGAATGCATGATTTAGGACCCTTAGAGAGATAATTTCTCTGTGATGTCTCATTTACATAATAACATGAAATTCAGTAGCATTCATACTTTATGCAGAATGGCTTACAAAACTACCTAGATAGAAAACATCATTTTTTTACCTCTTCTCTGAAAAATCTAAATAACCTGTTTTCTGATTTCATAGCTTCCAACACTGACATTAAAACACATTTAAGGTGAAAAACATTCCATAAAATTTGATAGCTTAAATAATAGAACAATATTTGAATACAATAAAATTACCACAACAAACATTATAACCAAATTAACTTTTGTAAATACAATAGCCAGGTGATGAATAAAAAATGAACTCAATTAATTCATATATAATGCATATATATATGAATGCATATATATATATATATATATATATATTCTATTTAAGAAATCTTAACTGGAACAGGGAAATAAAGTTTTCACTAATAGAAGAGAAAGCACATTTGATAGTGGAGGGTGAAACTATGACATAATGCACTAGAAGATCCAATTTTTAAGATGATAGATGTTAAAACAAATGACAGAACTTAAAACAATGTTGATCACTGTCATAGAACAATGTGTATAATGAAGGAGAAGCAGGAATATATACCATAGAGTTATTCATTCAGAGTGGAAATTATAAGACTATATTTGAAGTATATCTGAAGTTTTAATTCTTATTACAGAGATTGAGAAATACAGACATGTGTGCCATTCTTGGGTTTTGCACAGGAAAATAAAAGCTGAGAACAATAAAATGATTTGTGTTTCCATGAAACGATTCCCAGAGATGAAAAATGGAGAGATACATCCAGAAGACAATGTTTCCATGGTAAAGCAATTTGTCCTGCTGGGATTCTCAGACCTTCCAAACCTCCAGGGTTTCCTATCTGGCATATTCTCCATAGTTTACACAATTATCCTAATTGGAAACAGCCTCATAATCATATTAACTATGGTGGACCCTGTTTTGAAGAAACCTATGTATTTTTTCCTGGCCAATTTTTCAACTCTGGAAATCTGTTATGTGTCAGTCACTCTGCCGAGGATTCTGGTCAGCATGTGGACTCTGGATAGAACCATTTCCCTACTGGAATGTGCCATCCAGTTGGGTTTCTTCCTGATCCTGGGAGCTACTGAGTGTCTCCTCTTGGCTGTGATGTCCTATGACCGCTATGTGGCCATCTGCCACCCTCTCCACTATCCTCTAGTCATGAACCCAAAGAAGTGTGTTCAGCTGGCAGCTGGGGCCTGGGTCAGTGGAATGCCAATCCAGATAGGACAGACCTGTCAAATATTCTCTCTGAATTTCTGTCATTCTAACCACATTGACCATTTCTTCTGTGACATGCCTCCCATTATCAAGCTAGCCTGTGGGGACACCTCTATGCATGAGCTGTCTGTCTACGTAGTAATCATGTTGTTTGCTGTGGTCCCATTTGTGTTGATCCTTGCTTCCTATAGCAAAATTATTTCCACTGTTCTGAGATTGCCAACAGCCCAGGGACGGGGAAAGGCCTTCTCCACCTGCTCTTCCCACCTGCTGGTTGTGGTTTTATTTTATGGATCTGCTAGCATTACCTACTTCAGGCCAAAGTCCAGTCATTCCGCTGGAATTGACAGATTGCTCTCTCTCTTCTACACCATTGTGACCCCCATGTTCAACCCACTTATATACAGCCTTAGGAACAAGGAGGTGATTGCAGCACTGAGAAAATTATTACATCGAGTATGATGTCCTCAACTATTTGACATTGTTTAATCGTGTCTTACACGGACCAGAAAGATAACTGCTTCATGCTTATGATGTATCTCTGTTTCATGTGAATATTATCTTGAACTTCACTGGCTGGATACAGAGTGACAAATTTTATCTATCCTCAATGAGCTCTGCCTAAGGGAAATAATTTCTAAAAAATAAGGTTTTAACATGGCAGGTTTTCAATTTTAATAAGCAAAGTAGAATTTAAAATGTTAGATGATTTGGCTTAAGTGTGAAAAAGTTCACTTAATGTATTCACTTATTAATTAGTTAATTAAGCTTCTGGCCTTGGCCATGGGGGCTCTCACAGCTCTCTACATGTCTGTAATCCTTTTGAGGTCTTATCTTACTTTAGGTGCAGTCTTGCCAGTATACCTGGAAACCCCTCCATCTTGTCATCCTCCTGTTCTCATCAGCCCGTTATTAGATCTTTCTGGTCTCCTGTTTCCTGAGTGTGTGTGGTCATTTAGACACATTCTAAAATCTAATAAATACTGGAAATTTTTATGGCTGTTCCTTAGATTCTATTAACACTTCACCATTGTCTATTTTCACAGCTTCACAACAGTTATTTTGTCAATATTTAATAAACATAATTCACAATTCAGATTCTATTTTTTTCTGAACTCATATATCCATTGAGTAAACTGGGGATTCATTCTTAATCTGGCATATACATTCTCTGTGAATCAAAGATTTTTTTTAAATGAGCAAATAAGCAAAAGAAAAGAAAAAAATGACTGGGACATGGCACTAGGGCTTGTAATGCTGGCAACTCAGGAGGCTGAGATATAAAAATTGGCATTGCCCGTCAGCTTGGGTAGACCAATCCATGTCATTCTTATCTGCAGTTAACTATCCAAAAGCAAGAACTGGAGGCATGGCTCAGGTGGTAGAGTGCAAGACTTGAGGGATAAAGCTAAGCAAGAGTGGGAGGTCCTAATTTGAAGCTTTGAAAAAATTGATTCTGGGGCTGTGAGTGTGGCTTAGTGCTAGAGTGCTTGTCTAGCATGCCTGGAGCCCGGGGTTTGATTCCTCAGTACCATATAAAAAGAAAGAGCCAGAAGTGGTTCTGTGGCTCAAGTGGTAGAGTACTAGCTTTAAGCACAAACAGCTCAGGGATAGTGCCCAGGCCCTGAGTTCAAGCCCCAGGTCTAGCAAAAAAACAAAAAAAGATTCTATATTCACCCATGTAGAAGCAAATGCACATACACATAGCAATCTAAGGATGAAGCCTTACACAAAAAAGTATCTCAACATTATCAATGTATTTTAAGTTTACTAGTGTTTGTTGAATTTATTGAGGAAAATATATAGGTCACTCTTTGTGACTTAGCAAGTCATCTAAAATATATTACCCAATGACTTATCCATATAAGAATATATATATTGGACTCAATTAACTGGCAAGAAAATGGGGTATTTGTGTTAAGTGGGACTAGCCTGACCAAGAAAGAGAAATATTTATATTAAGAATATAAATATTTTAAAAATGAAAGACAAGAATGTAATGCTGGGAGTTTTTAGAGGGGTGAACTAGGAGAAGAGAGCAAAAGGATTGGGTAGGAGATGGGCGTGGATGGGCGTGATTGAAGTAATGAATAGGCAGGTGAAAATACAATAACCAAATCCATTAAAACTGCTTTTAAAAGGAATAGAAGGAGAAAAAGAGGTGGGAGCTAACACTGTTCAGAAAGAGATGTATTCATTACCTTACTTATGAAGCTGTAACTCCTCTGTACATCACCTTTCCAATAAAATAAAAAAGGAACAGAGGGTAAAAGACAGTGGAGTAGATTAAGTGAATTTAATCAAAGTATATGATATATAATATGGTATAAAACTTTTTTTCAAATAGTACATGAAATGTTATGTTCTAATAATGACATTTTGAAAAGAATGAAAGAAAATACAGACTGTTGAACTCTTAGCAATTCAATTAAGATCTTGTGTGAAGAATGTTCAAAGGAGTCCCCAAACATCAGGAAGAGAAGAAATATTTCCAAATCATCCTATCAATCACAATGAAAATATTGGAAATATTCTAGCTAGAAAATATATAAATGCAGAATAATCATATGAATGTTGCATCACCTAACTGAAATTAAATCCAAAAGGGGATTCAAATCCACAAAATGTTTAATTTATACCAATGAGGTTAAATAAATGCATCAAAACTGATCTAACTCAAAATTGGTAAATCACCATATTACTTTGCTCAATGTAAAGGCATGATGCTTCATAAATATGTCTGTGTGTTTATTAATCTTTGAATTTGTACATCTCTAAAGTAGACCAAATATTGTCCTATAACCTTCCTGCATCTCTAAGCTGTCCTAAAATTGTGTGACCAACATTTTCCTACAGATTTTTAAAAACCCTGTCCCCATATGTTTAGTTATAAGGGTGTTATAATTTTTTTATTATTTTATGGTGATTATAACAGGAAAAGACATCACTAACTGGAATAGATCCTAATTAGTATTTTGCTTTTTAGATTTTTATAATTGACAGAGGTTAATGATACAAATACAATCTTCACTGGGTGTCAAGGAAGTTCAGCTGGAAATGGATGTTTTACTTGTGCTCCTGTTTGGTGAGCTACACTTTTCACAATGAGCTGCATCTGCAAATTCTGCATGCGTTTCCACTTGGGAGAGCTCCTGTGAATTGTTCAGTGGCCTCACCCCAGGCTTGGGGAAGAGGAAGCCTGCCTGACAAGCAGGAATGCACAGAATAAAGACAAACATGATAAGAAATGTACTCAATACCTTGCCCATGTAATTGTAACCCCTATGTATGGTGTTTTCACACACACAAAAAATTCTAACAAAAAACAACAATAGTTATAAATCATATGTATATGTTACATCCACTTAGGAGAATTTATTACTGGTGTTATATATACATTAGAATCTAGATAAAACATTTTGCAAGAACAAATCTGAAAAAATAAAGGATCCACTTATTTGTAAAAAAAAAAAAATAGACACACCTGACCCAAACAGTCCTAGGAGAAGTTACACTTTTTCTAGCTCAAGGCATTTTTAATTAATTTTATCTTTGCAACTTTTAAAGGAACATTGCAGTCTATATAATAAATAGTAGGTAAATAAAAGGTTGTGACCTTCCCAAAGTAAATAGTTCCCAGTGATCATGGAACAGGAAAAGATTCTGAAATGTTACAGAACAAACTGTGGAAGGGTAAGTTTTGGTTGTTGAAACATACTCCTTGAATGACAGGCAGACCCATAGTTGAGTTAGGTGACATGGGAACAGAGATGATCCTCAGAGGAGAGAAGAGTTCATACTTAAAGGACATTTTTATTTCTGAAAACAGAAAGCAGTGGAGAGTTGGGGATCAACTCATGTAAATTAGATTAAATAATGTTTCTTCTGACTCAATCCATTTTATGTAGGCATTAAAGGTAAGTATTATACATAACCAATACCCAACTAAGTAAGAAGAGACTACATTTGTCTAATTGAAATATATTTGAATTGAAATGCCAATGTGAAGAAAATGATCTAAATTCAATTTTTATAGGTTGATCACAAGAAAATGTGAAGTATTTATTACATAGAGTCCTGTCTTGTTATATTTTATTATTATTGTAAAGATGATGTACAGTGAAGTTATAGTTATATGAGTCATTAAAGAGTATATTACTTTTTAATAGCATTATCTCTTCCTCCTAAGTATATTTTGATAGTATCATTTGACCCTGATTTATATACCTAATAAACAAATTAGTGAATAGCTAGTATTTAAATGGATATGTATTTTTCCTACTAATATCTGGAGAGTTCCTTTGTATTTGAATTATTTTCCCTCCATTAATGTATACATTCAATCAAATTGGATTAACTATGTATATATAGTATTAAAGTAACATAGGATAATAAGTTTATAAAATAATCGTTGTATATTAACTTCTTTTAAAGTCATATCTTTGTAAGGTTGTTTGAAGCTATTGGTTTTTGACAATATTACCAACTCAGATATAGTATTTTATTTCAATTCGGGCACTTATGCAAACAATACATAAAATATGTGTTTACTTGCGAGGTGCTGTCTCCTCCTCTACTGGGTATCATTTTTTATGCTGAGTGTGTTTGAACTCCTTTCATAGACATTTCCATTAATACAATGGAAAAGTCACCCAACAGTGAAATTGTCTGCCAGAGCCCCCCTCCCCCACCCAGCCCACACTCAGGTCCATTCTACTCTCATTTGAGGACACCATTTGATTGCACATTAACGAATCCTAACTTCAAATGTTCATCAGCTGATTTACAAAACTATGGGAGAGTTTGATTATTGAAATGCTTGTTATTTTCTCTAGAATATAGTAGATAACAAAATTAAAAAACAGATTTTATGTTTAGTTTTCTTCTACTTTGTCACAGTGTCCTTAGGGGGACCATCTTGGACATTCAGTGCTATTGCCTTCCTGTCTGTGTCCATATGCTTCTGAAACTCAAATGCAGATCACTGACCACACTTCCCACTTCCATTGCATGTTGATAGATATGTCTCGCTATTGCTCTGAGTTACTGTCCTTTGGTTTTCAGGTTTTCTTACTTAATAGTATGGGTGTGATCTAGCCACAACAAATTCAAGGAAATGAAAGTCAGATACTGCAAAAGTAGAGGAAACAACAAGTTCCCATACATTCTGGTTGTTCCTTCCCCACTTGATGAGCATGCACATAGACACACAGGTAAGGTGTTTTATTTTAATCAATCTGAACTGGGTTTGGGACCTATGCTTCTGTTCAGAACCATTTTTATATCATTGAAGCAATCAATTTGAATTGTTACTAATAGCTACAATTAAAGAGAAAATGAATATTTTAGGACAGTCACAAAGATGAGTTGTTCTCAATAATCCTCCTATATAATAATCTTATAATTTAAATGTGCATGATTTAATTGCAATTATTTTATGAGTTTTGCCAGACAGAAAACATCTTAGCCTTTTCTCTCCACTCTAAAATCTGAATAAAGTTTACACATGCTGATACATTGATCACATACTAAAACTCAAACATTTTGAGCTTTGTAATATTCCATACTATTAGTTTAAAAATTGCATTTGTTATTTATATCTTTTAATTGTGCTACATAGTAATGTGTTAACTATCATGTTTATTTTGTTTATTTTTAAAGTGATTAAAATGAATCATTACTATACTGAAAATAAATTCAGATTTGGAAGTTATTGATGTTTCATGAATAATAAAATTTAAAATAACAGTAGTCATCATAAAACTAAAATTATAGCAACAATACAATATCTAGTTTTACAAGAACCTTTTTTTCAAATGTATACTTTTTATAATGAAAAAATAGACATAATTTATTTTAAAGCACCTGGAAAAGTTAAATTTTATTTTTAAAGTGAATGAATATGGTGGCAACATATGGTGTTCTTGGGTTATTCATAGAAAAGTAAATACTGAGGACAGTTACATGACTTATTTCTGATTAAATAATATCCCACAGATGAAAGATGGAGAGAGAAGAGCAGAAGGCAATGATTCCATAGTGAAAGAATTTGTCCTGCTGGGATTCTCTGACCTTCCAAACTTCCAAGGGTTCCTATCTGGGGTGTTTTCCATTATTTATATAATTATCCTTACTGGAAACAGCCTCATAATCATAATAACCATGGTTGACCCTACTCTACAGAAACCCATGTATTTTTTCCTGGCAAATTTTTCCTTCCTGGAAATTGGTTATGTATCAGTCACTCTGCCTAGAATTCTTTTCAGCATTTGGACTGGGATTAGGACGGTGTCTCTACCTGTCTGTGCAACTCAGCTGTGCTTCTTCCTGATCCTTGGGACCAATGAAAGTTTCCTGCTGGGTGTGATGTCCTATGACCGCTATGTGGCCATCTGCAACCCTCTCCACTACCCTCTAGTCATGAACCCAAAGAAGTGCATTCAGCTGGCAGCCGCAGCCTGGCTCAGTGCAATGCCAGTCCAGACAGGACTAACATGGCATATATTCTCTCTGCGTTTCTGTCATTCCAACCAAATTGACCACTTCTTCTGTGACATACCTCCTATACTCAAGCTGGCCTGTGGGGATACATTTATGTACGAATTGTCTGTCTACATAGTAGCAATTCTCTGTGCTGTGGTCCCTTTCTGGTTGGTCCTTGCTTCTTACAGCAAAATCATTTCCACCATTCTAAGGCTACCTTCTGCCCAAGGACGGGGCAAGGCCTTCTCCACCTGTTCCTCCCACTTACTGGTTGTGGTTTTGTTTTATGGATCTGCCAGCATTACCTACTTCAGGCCCAAATCCACTTATTCTGCAGGACTTGACAAACTCTTCTCTCTGTTCTATACCATTTTTACTCCTATGATGAATCCATTGATATACAGCCTTAGAAACAAGGAGGTGATAATGGCATTACGGACATTAATACTAAAATAATAATTTCAGGTGGTTGCGGGAAATTGTTTTATTTTGGGTCATATAATCAGTAATCTTTTGAATTTCTTCCTTTACTCTTTATTTGGTTGTCTTGTTCTTCCTTATGTCATTACTCTTAACTTTTAGTCTGGTATTTATTCCACTTCATAATGTATTAGAAAATTTCTTCTATCCATAATTTCATAAAGGTAATATTAATGTGTCACTCTTTCCTGTAAATAAGTAAGCAGAATTGTAAATATTTTAGAATGTGAAAATGTTTTTCATGATTAAACTTAAAATATAATCCCCATTATGTCAGTTAAATTTTTTCTATCTTTTATTAATAAAAAATCCTGCTGCAGAATTTATAGTCTATTAGATTCACATACACACATGACACTGAGAAACTATTGAAAAGGCTTGATTCTTTTTAACTGAAAAATAGCAATATTATATCACTTTTCTAGGGTTTCAGAATTTACATTCTTATATAATACAATATATGTGATATCCACTGTCAATAATTGCTTATATATTTAGGTTGCTTTTTTTTCTTTTTTAGCTTTTGCCATTTTGTGTATTTTTATTGTTATTGTAAATGTGATGTACAGAGGGGTTACAGTTACGTAAATCATGTAATGAGTCCATGTCTCTTTGTACAATGTCATCCCTTCCCTCACTCTCTCCCAGGTTTTCCCTCTGATATTCATCCACTAGTTGTATATTTCATTATCAAACTAATGTCCAGTGAATATCACTGCTGCATTTGTTCCCCTTTTGTTTCTCCATTTCTGTGCTCCCCTTTACCCTCCTACAGACAGACAAATGAACAAATGAAACAAATGAAAAGAAAACAGAAACAGCAACATCAAAAAAATCTCTTGTTTACATTCTTGGAGTACATTTTGATATGGTCAGGTACACATAGCTATTGAGCCTTTGTGTTTCTCTCCTAAGAACATTCTCTTTTGATCTCCATCTTTGTGAATGCCTAGATAGCTGTATGATTTATCATGTCCCAGTCATTTATTTATTTACTTATTACTATCGAGTATGCTTACTTTAGAATTATAGGCACATTCTAGTTACCACAATAGAGAGAAACCATGCAACTTCTCTTTCTTTGTGTCTGACTTACTTCACATAATATAATTTGGATTCCTTTAAAATTTCCCAGAATAACCATTAATTCATTATTGCTCAGTTCCTATTTTCTAGTATAGAACCTGGGCTTCATGATTTGACTAATAGAATATTATTTATTCAAATATATGTATCTAGACAGAGAATGGAAAAAATAATTCATACATATGTAATTAGCTTTTAATTGCATAATATGCACTTTGAATTGGTATTTTCAACTTAAGAGGGAATAAAAGATATAGGAAACCTTCTCAATGCTTCTTTGATTCTCACCTACTTTCTCTGCTCTGCTCAGTTTTTGATGCCACAATACTGAATGAAGTTTTATGAGATAATGTTCATGTGGCAATATATTTAACAAATGTTAAAATCTGTGAAATTTACCATAGTGATGTATAATCTAAAAGAAATTGTAGAATGCCCTGTGTTACAATTTTCATAATCAAAACAAAACCCAGAAGCATACTCTGATTTCAATGGCTTTTTCTTGTTAAATTTTCAGGATAGAGTAAAAGTATGGCTTTTAAATATAAAAACAAGACTATACTTTCAGGGATCATTTCCATAATTTGTTAACTATAAAAACAAGGTTTTGAGGTTCCATTTCTGTACTCCCTTCATTTTGTAAATGTGTGTATGAGCAGTGGCATGATAGAAAAATAATATTTGAAATTAGCTGAGGCCTCAAATAAGTCTGGTAATTCTGAACATATAGCAATATGAAATTTATGTGACTTTTGGATCCCTTAATTTAAAGAAAAAATTGTAATCTAGCAAACTTTAAGCAAATGTAAACATATATCTAAAATTTTAAGATAAATAGAAAAATATCTAATTATTCATATTGTTTTTATGGTATTGAAATATTGATTTGGAGATTCATGACTTAAGTAGGAATTTGGTAAGATTCCCTGATCTAGTGCTTTCAAGTTGAAATCTGGAGCTATAAAGAAAGTATACATCCCAGGAGGTTGATCTATTTTATCCTGTCCTTTTACACCTGTTCTTCAGTCCACATCTTTCTCCATCACATTTTTCTTAGATCTCAGTCAATGACTGATGGGAAAACATGGTTTTTCCCAATATGATATTACCAAACATATTATATGGTGAGTTAGTACTGTAGGGAAATAACTACATATTGAAACATTTACTCAAAAAACACTATAACACTGAACATAATCATGGCATGTCATGATAGGTTTGGGTGTGTGTCATATAGTACAACCTGTTATCAACACAGTGATAGGTCATATAATTCTATATATCACAGAAATATAGTAGTAATATATTATAAATACTTTATGACTACACAGTATGGAAGCACTACCTTTGCTATTAATTAAATAATCCTTCTACATTGTCTAACATAGCTAAGATATGGAATCAACCAGATGCCCTTCAGTGCATGAATAGATCAAGAAAATGTGGTATGTATACAGAATGGAATTCTATGCTTCCATCAGAAAGAATGGCATTGCCCATTCATAAGGAAAAGGAAAGACTTGGAAAAATTATATTAAATGAAATAAGCTAGAACTTAAGAAATATAGGTGGTTGCATGATTTCCCTCATTTGTAGTAATTAGAATGTGCTACTAAATCTACAAGTAAACACAAAGGATAATAAAAGACAAAATAAAACTTACACTTGTCATGATAAATTAAACAGAACTCTAAACAGTGAGACCAAAGTAGGATATTCTTTAGAGGATCACAAAGACTCAATAGGTATGTGTATATGATCATATAAAATGATGCTTATTGAAATGAACCCCAAGAAATGGAAACAAGAGGATATTTTTTACTTTTTTGTGTTTTTTTCCTGTTTTTGTCCTTTGTCATTATTTTTTATTCCTTTGTATTTTGTCTGTGTGCAAGAATATCTATTTTGGGGAAGGGTAAGAGGAAGCACAGAAAAAATGGGACAAAGGGTGAACTAATTCAGCACTGATACTCACTAGTACTCTGCTGGGAATGGACTATACATGCTTTCATAGAAAAAAATTACATTGATGAGTTTTGGTGTCTATTATACTCTAGAAATGTTTCTGCCTAAGTATTAGTCAGCTTCTTATCCCTGTCCAAAAATTCTTAGAAGGAATGAATTAATTGGTTTTTGTGTTTTAGAGTTTTCTATTCTCGGTAAGCTCTCTTAATGCTTTTGTGACTGTGAGGTTGAGGAAACCTGTAGAGATTGTTCAACTCATGATGAACAGGAAAGACATATACACACTCTCTCACACACACATGTGCGCGCGCACACACACATGTAGTTGCACAGGATGGGAAGGAGATGGAGAAACAGAGAGACAGAGACAGAGATAGTGAGAGAGAAATCCCACTTGATAAATGATGCTCCACATTCTATTAGTGTCCTAGGCTAGTAAGCACCTGGTCTTGGCGGAGCATTTGTGATCTATGCTACAAGTATATGTACAAGTAGGTTTTCTGACTCAATTGTGCAAAAGAGTAAATTATTTGGCTCCCATATATATTCAAAGAACTAAGAGTGCAGTTCCCTTCCAAGTTCAACAATACTGACGCCCAGTAGAAATTTACATTGCCATTCAGATCCCAAGATAAAAATCAAAGCTGAATTTCTGGCTCTCAGGGAGTCAAACAGACAGGGTTTACCTACTCTGTGTCCAAGGATAGTACTCTGTGCTATACAAGAATTGAACAGGACTGAGGAACTGTGAATTGATATTGCAAGATGCTAATTGCCTTACAATTAGAGTTGTTTATCCTTCTCAGTGAATTTAAACACAAAATAGAAAGACTTATTTCCCTTATTTGCAATAACTAATACTAGTTATTTGTCTGAGACAAAAAGAAACTGCCAGACAAGTTGATGTTAGGCAAAATGAACCCCAAGATAAAGATTCAATGTTTTTTCTTTCTTGCGATTGTTTCCAACATATTTATATGATGATTTCTTTGTTGCTTTGTATGTCCCTCCCCCATGGTATAACCCCTGCTTTCATTGTATTTGATGTTGATATAATTTGTGGAGGGGAAGGGAAAAAACAAATTGTTTAAATAGGGCTACAGGTGGATCCATTACAACAATGAGATGTATAAGACGTTATGTTGAAAATCTAACTTTACAACTTTGGAGGGGTGGGGGGTGGAGTTGGTGGGATGGTGGTCGGGGTTGTGGGGGGTGGAGAGGGGAAAGGATGGTATGGGGAAACAAAGGAGGAGGCAACAACGCTTGATAAAAAATCTACTCATTATCTTGCTCATGTAATTGTAACCCCACTGTATGGTATTTTCACAAAAATAAAGATAATTTTATTAACTTTAAAAAAAGATTCTGCATAGAATTACATCTGAACATAGTTTATGTTTCCGAATTTCCCTAGTGATGCTTTCCTCTTTGTTCTCCTAGTTTTTTCAGCAGTAAAACCAACGACTTTCACTCATCAGCACACAGATTTGATCATGTACTGAACAGTCATTGTCCAACTATGATTGGTAATTGTCATATTCTGTAGAGTCAAGAACTCCAGAAAATAGTGGTAACAACATCTGTATATGTGATTTTCTATTACTTAGGCTTTGTAGGTCAATCCTATAATACTACTAACTATGACATACATTTTGCTAGGGTCTGGAGGGCAGATTCAAGACAAGTTCAAAACATCTCAGTTTATTCGCAAGACTATAACAAAATAAATAAAACTAATAAGGATTTTATGACTCAAGGAATGGATCTCAATACCCAGGAATATAAAATCATATATATATATATATATGCATATATATATATCTTTAAAAATAAATGGAAGCTAAAATATCTACATTTTGAAGTCCATTTATTTACATTGTAAAGTTGACAGGGTAAAATTTTATTATGAGAAATTATTTTCT